AAACAAACGAGGCACGAAATAACACAGAGTCACTGCAGTTAAAATAAAAACAACTAGCATGTGCTTTCGCCATTTCTTCCTCCAAACTCGCACCACAGCCACATTTAAATAAGACATTTGCAGCCAAAACGAGAACGAGTTAAAAACGAAATCGATGCTTAGAGCAATGGACACGCGAATAAAGAACTCTGCTATAGACCCCAGACCTTCGTCGAGATACGTGAATTTGTACAGCTGTATGAAGCCGACTGCCGCTATCATTGCTGTTGATTCTCCGAGAATCATCTGAATGCTCATGTCCGCAATAAGGCGCATGCTTCTTGGCGTGCGAAATTTATCTGCTCTCAACGTTTCTTCTGCCTCCCTGTCTCGTTTCAGCTTCCTGTAAACAAAGTACCAAAAATAATCTCGTACGACAATGGTTAACCTTTCGAGCAAATCCACAGCGCCGTGTGCAAAACTCAGCCAAACAAACAGTCTACGTTCGACGAGGTCAGCTTGCAAGATACGAAAAACGATGGCGGAGGCGGTGAACAGGACGCTTAACAACACGTGTGAGTCACCGGGGTGAACAAAATCAATTCTTTGCGCCGCCAAACGCACGATGACCTTTGGTATGGCTGTTATTAGTGGGAGCCCGCCAGCAATAATAGTTCTAAGGATTTCGTTATCTTCCTTTGCGTACAAAGGAATCAGTATATAGACGAAGGAAAGCGTAAGAGGGATACCAAAAGCAAACTGAAGTGTCAGCATCGCCGCAACCTTCAAGGCCTTCTTGACTTTCAAATTCCTTAATGTCTGTGTTTTATTTGCTATTTCTTTGCCGAGTAGGAAACTATTCATAAGCACAATGAACACGAACAAACCATTCAATGGATATGATTTCCAGGATTTGTGATAATTTCCATAAATATAGAAATAAAGTCTGAAACAAGTGTCAAAAAACGCGCAGAGGAGATTGAGGGTCAGCAGATTGAGTTTCTTGATTACAGGCCATCCAAATATCAACAGTGCAACAAAAAAAGTCCACATTTGAATAAAGTAGGCTCCAATTGTCCCCTCAGTAACAACAAATGCCTGAGTCTTTTCAGGAAGAGCCGTCCAGTTTGTAGACTTCCAATTAAAGCATAAAATATCTGAAGCAAAATAATAAATCAGCATCAAAATAGGAAGCAAACCAAGTGCCACTCCACCGACAATCTGTATGTAGAATGCGTGATTCATTGCCTCCCAAAGCGACATCCACCATTTTTTCGGTCGAGATTTTTTCCAACCATTTTGCTGACGTCTCCTGGGGGTGGATCGTACTCCTGAAAAATCGTGTCTTGTTGATTAAACTTCTTAAAATCCTCCAAAAGATCCTCTCGTTGTCTTAGCGGAGTGTCCTCGAGTGCTTCCTGAGCTCTGCAGGACTCGATCACACCAGCCGTGAACTTGTCGGTAAAAGAAACTAACAGGCCTTCGAGAAAGGACATAGTGACTGCCATCTTTACAGAGAGTTTATGTACGATACTGACGTTTCCTGATTCTTCTTGCGTCCTACAAAAGTAAAAAGTTCTTAAAGCTTTCCGAAGTCTCTAAAAAAAAACTGGCAGAAACGTCAAGTTAACTTTGTTTTTTAGTTGACTGCATGCAGTACAGGACGTTTTTTTGTTTTACTGACGGTAATAGAACACGAGTCACAAGCTGTTTTGGCTGTGCCACGAGCATCATGCGATCAACTGTTTTTGCATCATGGGACTCGGCTGTTGTGTTAGAAGAGCTTTTACTTTAGCCTAACATGTAGACTGACTATCAAGGTAAGCGCAATCTGATACAGAAACCTGCTATTGATTGACAAAGAGCCTTTGCCGCCCTTGCATCTCTTTATACGTTACTAACAAAAAAAGGTGCGGTACCAAATTAAACAGACAATATGAAGGCTAAACCTGCAGAATTTTACATCAACTTACAGAACGCCGATAATTATCAGCAATTTTTACTGAGAATACATTAAATCTTGACATTAAAGACAATGTCAACTTCAGTGATGTTGAGGAAGCACAAAACCCTTATAACAACACAAAGGTCATGTTAACATATCCCGTAGCAATGAGCACACCAATGTGCTGACACGTTAAGAATAAATAGACTATCTCATGTCACGAAGCACGATCATGATACCATTATTTATAAACAGTGGAAAACCCAGTGTCACATGAATATCTGTATAATAATAATGAAACAATTTTACTTTGAAATGTAGCGCAAGCAAACTGACCTCACAAGGAGTCTAAGATCAATGGGGGCGATCTGTATAATGTATGATTCCGTGATGGCGCATGATTGTCATGTATGATCGTGTGATTGTCATGGTATAGCTCTCTATCAAAGCAATCAATCTTTCAAAGCAATAGTTCTTGGTCAGTAAAGTTTAGTTATGCCATCATATTGATTGTTCTCTGTTTACACATGTAACTCACTATTCAAACGATGCAGTGGGAGATAAACTAAGAATAAAGCCAGTATCCGAGCCAGAATCCGAGCCAGGATTCGAGCCAGGATCCGAGCCAGGATTCGAGTCAGGACAGTGTCGAATTTGTAAAGCCCGCGAGTGTATTTATATAGATATATATTTTTATTTATTACTAGGTAAATGAAAAATAGTTTCATGGGAGAGAAAATCGTCGTTTGAATGAAAAACTATTTCAGTTTACGAGAACATCCAGGAACACTGAAAGTTTTTGATACCTTAGTAGACTTACTAGTCAATTTCTTTTCAATAATACTAATACATTTCATTTTGGCGGCGCCCAAGTGTATTTCTACCAGAAAACTTGACTTGCCACGGGGATTCTAATAGTTGGATTTGTTCACTAAAAATGCCGGCAAGGGCTTCGATCGTTTTTGCTGTAGGAATGTATAAGGCTCCTTTTTGTGTAGAGTTTCTACAGCTCTGATACATTAATGTCGAGTTTGATTTTATACAGTGCAAAAAATGTTGAAATTTTAAGAAATAAAGAGGGCGTTTTCGTGCCGAACACGGCAATATTTAGTCGTGCAAAGAAGTTTGATCGGGGCAGATTTTGATCACCTGCTATGTAACCTCTGCACGTAGCGCAATCAACAAAACAACGCTATAATTTGTTATTTTTGGCAAGCTTCGTCCAAACACTTGATTATACCCACGTACCTAAAATTTACTCCTTGTTTACAAATCGTTATCAAAAATTTAGTCGGTGGATGGTTTGCCGGCCGTCTCTTGTCCGTGCGGTAAAGTTACTTGCCCGAGAGTAAAATGTACTTGTCCCAGACGAGCGGACGGGATCGGAGTTTCTTCGAGTCCTGCACTAGCTATCAAACTTTCTGGAATACAAGTTCAAATGTTCAAATTTTCAGATTTCAGTATATGTGTAATACATGTGGCAAGACGCCGCCCAAAGCAATCCTGGAGGCGAAGTGTGCAATACGAGCTCGCCAAGAAGAATATCACTTGGATAGAGGCAAAGAGAACTGCCAAAAATTGAGTCAGGTGGAGGTCCATGGTTGACGCCCAAGGCTCCCCAACAGGAGAGAAGATGGCCTAATTTATCGTAATGCACAAACAAACAAACAACAAACAAAGATATGAACTGTAAGAAAAGTTCTTTAAAAATTTAAAATCTGGTTATTGCTTCTGCGGGAAGATGGATTATTTTTCCAGTGCTGGCAAGAGTTTGAAGTGATATTTCATCAAAGAAATTAAAGCTTTAGTTTTTAACGCACATTGACCTGTATTTCTGAGGCGTTCTGAATAGATATTTCCCCGAAATTGGTACTCTGGATTTAAAGATGCGCCGATACTCTGGGGCTTTCGAATCGATCCGATACGTGGAGCGCGCGGTCGGTCTCGCGAGCGTGCGCGAAAATATTTTCGTGGCAGCTGATGTTCAAGCCCGCCCAAGCGTGAGATCTTGTTATGGCTACACTAAATGCAGATCGCCGATCAATCTTCACTGAAGCCGCTTTGTCTTGCACGTTAGGCTTATTAATTGACAGGAATCCTTGAAATAGAACTTTCTCTTTTCGCAGCAGCTGTATCAGAGCGGTAAATCGTTTGCCATATCTTATCAGTTAGGCTTCAAAAGAGATCGCCAAACTAATACGCGTCGAACAACAACTTATGAATCAGTGTGGTGCGGAAGTTATAGCACTCACTTCACCTTCATTTCATTTCATTTTACGTTCCAATTTGGTTGATTGATTCTGAATGCATTAAATCAGATTTCAACGTAAAGGATGCGTTGCACGCACTATATCTATAGTGGACAACAAGATACCCCTGCTGTCCACTATAGATATACATTACTTTAGTCGAACACAATCTTGTAATTACTGCATACAAACTCAGTCATCTGCAATCCAGTAATTACTGAATACAGCTACTTTAATAACATTCCAGTGATTTGGAGAGCGGGCCAAAGTGATTACAATAGCTTACCTCGAGTCTGTTAATGGCTACCAAATCACTTTCTATGGATCTGTTAGTTAACTAACGAAATCTGTATCATCGACTTCAAAGAAGGTTGCTTTGAATGCTAGAAAATACTACCATTCAAAATACTACCAAATCATTTTCTGTGGATCTGTTAGTTAACTAACGAAATGTGTATAGTCAACATCAAATAAGGCTACTTTGAATGCTAGAAAATACTACGATTTAGCAATTATATACTGAATACAAAATGACAGAAATGAAATATTGCGGAGCCCAGTGATTTCATCAGGGAGACTATCAAAGTATGCGTTCCGGTGTTAGTTTCCATAACGGATTGACTTGGTTGTATTTTCTGTAGTTTTTCGTAAGTACATAACTGCTAATTTGTCCTGTTTTGTAATATTCAGCGCAGTTATATGTCAGAAAGCAGTCACAGCACAAGTAACTGAAGTTTACTTAGAGTATTTCTGATTGATATCATCTTTTATGTATGCGTTGCTGCTAGTAATAACACGCTAAATGGACCTCAGTTGTGTCCGCCGTAACTGCTGTCTGCATTAACTGCTTGATTATTTTAAAATATTGCTTTCTATGCCCCTAATTAAGAACCAAATTCACAAAATACAACCCGGTAATCGGTTATACAAACATCAGTTACCTTATGTATTTCTTCCGTGGTCTTTGCTACGACTGCTGTGTAACATCAAACTGCCTCAGTTCTTCGCTGATCATCACTAAATATTGTTATCCAGTTATTATGTACTGAACATTAAGTATTGAAGATACAACCCAGTAATCCGTTATGGAATTAAACTATCAAATAGCCATGTATACGTTTGTTCAAGTGACATTCTTAGTGGACCTTAGTCGTTTTTGCAGTGATTGCTCTCTAACGAACATTAAACTGCGATGATTACTACAAAATATTGTTAACCAGTAATTATGCACTGAATTAGTATAGAAAATACAGCCCATTAATCCGTTATGGAAACTATTTAACATCTCTTTCTGCGTTCGTGCAAGTAATAGTCTTAGAAGACTTCAGTGGTTTCTGCTTTCACTGCTGTTTTTTTAACTGCGTTCATTCCTTAAAACTATTACTATTCAGTAATTATGTACCGAATACAAACTAAACAAAACTATCAATACAACTCAGGAATTTCTGTCAGGGAAATTAAAAATCATCTATGTATGCGTTCGACTTCAGTCGTTTCTGCTGAGATTGCAGTCTGACATCAAATTCACTTCGCTACAAAATATTACAGTTGCATTCACATGAACAAGTAGGAGAGTCAGCGTCAGGTCTGGCTGGAGTAGAGCTAGATCTCGGGGAAGGCAATGCTCTGGTCGTAGACGGTACCGCTCTGCCTGGTAGACCGCGTGCCAGCCTTTGCAGACGACCCTCAAATACCCTCAACGGTGAAATGTAGTTGTCTTCCAGCCAGCATCTCTTAAAGAACATGATCTTAGCTACTCTCTTCCTTTCTCCTCCAATTAGAACGTTGTCTGACACAGCCAGCATGTGAGTGACTGAACTCAACTCAATGAACTTATTTCTGCTTCCCCCACAGTCTTCGCTGGGGAAGAATACTTTGCCAATCAGCTGATCTGGGCTGAGAAGTAGCACCAGTGCCAACAAGGCGTCGATTTCTGTGTCATTCAATAAATGGTAACCCATATAGTTCCTCAGCCTGTTGAGGTTAGGATCGTCAAGCCGAATAACAATTGCCACACAGTCAAGGTAGTACATCAGTTTGGCTGTTGGACTTCCTGGCACTGTAACCTTGGTCCCCGCGTTTTTTATTCCAACTCTTTCCCCAATAAGTGCCGCCATATTGTGGGCTTCAGTTTGTCTACAAGATAACAGAGCTTCCATTTGAATCTCAAACAACAGTCTCGACTTCAATTATAACGTTCTTATTGGTGCAGATATTTTTGCATTTTTTCACACCTTAATTCAATAAGAACGAAAATCGTTTCGAGTCTTCAACGGAGTTTGAACTTCCTAGTATTAAGAATGACCCAAAATTACTTAATATTTTCTTTTCGTCTTGTATCTGGATGATAGTCATTCGTTGAAGACTTACGGGTTAAAACTGATGCATGCCGGATAAAAAAAGCCAAATCAGTCGAAAGATAACGTATGAAGAAGCCTGCTGTAAAAGTCATAACACTCATATTCCCTTCTGATCACCTGTTTTCAGTTGTCAGCTTTAAAGCTGCGTCGTTTAAAGATCTCATACGGCTTAGTGGCTTTGCGCGCGCGACATTGAATTTCTTATTCGATTGAAAGACGAACGGAAGACGATGCGCCGTTACTCTCGGCATTTTCATTGAGATCAAGGCGTGCGTCCCTCTTTTTTAGTAATTTAAGTGCATTCTCAGAGAACAAAATGATGGCCATACTCGAATGGTTTTGAATGAATTTTGCACAGTCTCTTACGACGAAAAGCGAATGGTAACGAAAGTGACTGTTGTGAGAGGTGTTTGTCATCGTCGTTTAAAATGATTGAAAGGATACTGAGTTAAGTTGATCGTCTCTTGTTAGCGTTACACCAGGGCTAGGGTCTCTCTATTTAATGGACCCTGAGAACAGTTCCTTGAAGACCAACAGGCAGCATACTTGCATAATTTTGACAGTACATTATTTATTGGCGAACTCCAAATTATTTGACATTGCAACTGTGATTCCCGACTCTGATAGAAATGACGTCCGACCCACTACTTGTCGACGTCTACTTCGGTTTCCATAAGATCGTAAAACTAGTACAAGTCCAATGAACAAATCATAAGTGCCAACCGTTTGACTTGCAGTTTTGGCTGATTAATTAGCATGGTCATGCAAGCCTTCGCTTGAATGCAAGAACCAATCTCGCAGCCTGTTGAACCTTACCCTTACTTTTCCAGTTCTTTGCTTTTCCTTTTTAGTCCTAACTGGGTTCAAAATGTCGACTAAAGGGCTTGTAGATAGCAAATTGCTCTCATGTTATTTATGAAAGAGTGATAAAAAGAGTCCTACCTGTGACTAGTTCTGCCCTCACTGAATTTATGTTGGACGCCATTGATTAACATATGCATTAAAATGATCAGCTTAACAATTCCGTTGTTTAATGTTTTGACATCCCGGCGACAGTGCAGTGCAGCTCGTTCGTGCAAAATGATATCCTCTCCTCTGAAAGTGCTTTTCGTTAGGGACTATTAGTTTGATGGCATGAGCAGTTACTGGATAAGATAATTTGAAATGCGACTGGGGACAAGCACCAACAAGCAACTCGGAAATGCGTTGAATGATTTCTATTTCCTTAAACTTGTATACTTAAAAATTAACAACAAAATCAGACTCCGGCAGATAGAACTATGCGTTAACTTACAAACATATGCTTCTGCAAGAGCAAGAAAAGATCTGGGAACAGAGTAAACAACAGTATTAGAATTTTCCTTATGAGCAGGCTCTTGTTGAGCGCTTCCCGAGTATTATCAAGTACATGTAAAGGAACACCTACTGTTAACAACGCTTGAAACTGCGGCGGAAATCTTGAACGTCCTGCACACTTCAGTCAGCAATACGATCAATCTGCAAGAACAACGAAGTAAACAATTGCGCAGGAGGAAAATCGAGAGGACAGACCGAATCGCCTGAGATCGAGGTTGAAGTACTGAAGTTTTTGTTCACGTGGTTTAGATTGACGTCTCAGCGTCATACAAACCGTCTAGAAAGACTGTTGTAATTAAGGTATCAGTAAGGGGAAAATTTGCAATTTTGCATAATTTTACTTTTTTAAGCGGTTGGATAAATCTTAAAGTAATCTTTTAGATAAAAAAAACNTAACATTCATGAAATTGGCTCGTTCTGCATACTTAGTTGAACCGTTTTGGCTTGCAAACAATTCTTCGCCTTTTTATTGCAACTTTAATTTCAAGAAAAGCGAAACGAAATAAATTACTGACTGTCAAAGTCATTTATCACTTTTTCAGCCATCAGTTCTAACCTTGCCGACACGCAAAGCAAAATCGTTGTAAAAGATTAAAGTTGTAATCAAAGTATATTACTTTCATTACTTTTGGCTCCGTTATCGCCAACTTTCAATTCTTAGCATAGCGCAAGACTCATATCTTGAGCAGTTCGGTATGGCCGCATAATTTCAATCTATTCCACAGTTTTGTTCCACAATGTCTCGGCCAATTCAATTTATTATCCATTTGTGAATTCTTCGACGGATTGCTTTGAATAGTTCTATTGTTATTCAAAAAACAGTAACTGCATTGTGTTGACCGTTGAGCTATTAATGATTAAAAAGTTAAAAGGTCAATAATTAGCTCGTTAAAATAGTTTTTAATCTTCGCCTCAGATAATCGACCTTGTTCCATTAAGGTATCAGTAAGGGGAAAATTTGCAATTTTGCATAATTTTACTTTTTTAAGCGGTTGGATAAATCTTAAAGTAATCTTTTAGATAAAAAAAACTCCACGAAAAAATCTTATATCTGCCGCTAGTTACTGCGCGAGAAAGATTGTTTTGCATATTAATTACTTAATTGAGAGTTGACAAGTTCTGTCAAATAAATTAATTATCGAGGCAAGAAGTCACATGACAT